GCAGTCTCAGAAACCCATTGCTTCTGAGTCACTAGGCCAGTGCAAGCCCCCTGTGCTACATGCATTTAAATTCAGAGCTTTAGGGGTGAGCAGGAGGAACGGTTGCAATCAAAATTAACAGGGCTTGACAAATCATTGACTCTACTTGCCTGTGGCGAGTAGATTTTAGCCGGTTGCCCCATTCACCGGCAGCACATGCATGCGCAATCCAGGTCTTGCACATGCGCAGTGCGGGGCTGGTGAGCAGACTTCACTGCAGTTTGTCAAGCCCTGAAAATTAAGGGGTGCACTTTAAGCATTGTCTTGCCAGCAAGCTGCTTCCTGATGGATACCTTTTAATCAGATCACTTCAAGCATTTCTTGAATTTGGTATAACCCTTGCTTATAACAAATTCAATTTTGGTTGGCCAGCTGCAAAACACAGACCAATTTGCATCTAGGTCTAAACTTAACTGATTATTTCAGCCACTCTTTGTATGTATCCACCTTCTTTTGTCATGCTGGTAGCTTAACTCCCTGCCTTTGGCGCTAGCTGACAACCACTTCCCTGCAGTGACGCAGGTCCTATTACTGGTGGAAAAATGCCAAAGTGCATGTAGGTATGCTGTTAGCTAGAATGCTAAAAATAGGTGTTCAGACAGGGTTTCTCAATGCTCTGGTTCTTATGACTTCAACACTTGTCCCAGAAGTCAGGGGACTGGAAACATGCCCTCTGTTAAAATCATTACTGTGTTTAATAAGTTGTAATTAACTTGTTAGTGTGCTACCCTAAGCAGAAGGTGGTGATCGATTGTTCTTGTCCACTGAGGGCAGAATGGAGAGAAATTGATATTCTCCCCCCCCCTACTTGCTGCTCACCGTAAGCATAGCTGGGTTATGGAGTAGATCACCCAAAGGGTGGGTGGATATGACAGATGCGAAATATCCTGAGTGAATAAATTGAACCCTATTGTATTAGGGTTAATATATCTTGGTGGTTTTATTAGAAACCCAAATGTGTGCTTGAGTGAGATTGCACAGAACTGCTTTAGCACCTTGTAACAGTAATTAGCAGTGTCTGAAGAGAGAGCAAATGCATATCTTAAGGAAGGCTGCTTTCCTGGGACATGGAGTAAAGGCAGATGTCCCTGGGCTAGAAGGTAGTGAGATGGAAATCTCTGCCAGAGTACAGCAATGGCTGCCTTTGACTTGTACCAGTGGCTTAACATGCTTAACTTCAAGTTAGAGCTTGTTTCTGCCAGAACATCCCACTGTAGTGTAAATGCAGTTTGAAGAGTATAAAAGTACTTCTGGGGTGTATTTTGTCTGATCCAAGAAGCAAGATAAGCAAATTCCACTGAGTCACACATGGCCTCTAATTGCATCTATCCTAGAACTTTTATGGGGGTATATGACTTTACCAGACACATTCAATCACTGATGCAACTTTTCCTTGGTCTACTGCTTAACAACCTGCCCCACCTTGTATTTAACTGTGCTGCTCTGGTTACCTTTTTCCAGACTTGAAGAGCTCTACAGAGCTTGAAAGCTTCTCTTCTGTCTGGCTGTTGGTCTAATAAAAGATACCACCTCACCCCTCTTACTCAAATGCAGACTAGGCCTTAGTTAAACTTGCTGAGTTTCCTTTTGTGACTTCATAGGCATTGGATGCCGTCTACAAAGTTGTTCTATGGGCCTCATTTTAAAAATATAATCTTAACTTTCAAGGTAGGGGTAACAGTGGTAGAAATGCTTATGTACCAACCTGGAACTGATTGGAGGGCTGGAGAAAATGTTTTAGTGAGAACATAAAGGTCAGTTTGCCAAAAGGAGAAGAGACTTGTCTGCAGTATCTCTCTACCTTCAGGGAGAGAAAATGTCAGGCACTGAAGTATGCTTTAGTCTAGCAGAGATGGGCACAAGAACCAGTACTAGAAGCTTAAGTGTGATACACTAGAAATAAAGCACTAATTTTAGAACAAACTCTTGTGGGAAATAACATGGGCAGCAGGTCAGCCCCCTCCTTAAGGGAAGCTAACCCTGTGGCTAAATTCCTGAGACCACCCCCCAGAAAAGCCCCAAGATGGCCTACCCATGCTGGTCAGCCTGGAGCTAGAGTAGTCCTAATCCATTGTCCCATAATCTAGTATACACACCACCCCTAGGAAGTGGTGAATTCTCCATTGTTTGATGTTTTCATATCCATGATTGGCTGTTGTGTTGGAAGATGCATTAGTCCAACACAAATTACTGAGCTCAGTATTACAGGAAATGTAATGATGTTTGAGATAGGTATAGAAGATCTAATGGACCCTTCTGGCCTCTATGAATTGCAATGTGTGTGTTGTGACTGCTGTAGAAGAATATTAAAATTCTTCAAAAAAATGCTGAAAATGCAACCTAAAACAATCCCACCATGACTAAGTGTGGCTTTAAAGCTAGTTAACTATTAAAATTAGTATCCAAAATGGGGAAGCAAGCTTTCTAGACTTTCAGTCTCAGACCCCATCTGTCTGTCTGGTTTCAAAATGCTGAGAATTTGCAAACTTATTTCAGGCTAAAAACAAGACCAATATTTTGCAGTGCAGGCAATGAACTATTCAAACAATTTGGGAGGATTCTCGGTCTTTGACAACTTAAATTAAAGATGGGGAATTTTTAAAAAAGATCTAGGAATTGTCTGTATCCAAGAGCTGTCTAAACAGGACGCCCTAAAAATCTGGACTTGACTAAATTGCTTGCTTGTCAATATGAAACTCTCTTTTGATGGTGCTATGAAATGCCCATCCAGAAACTGGGGCTAGGTCTAGACTGCAGAGTTTTTCCAGGATACCAGAGGTGTCCCGGTAAAACACTGCTGTGTCCAGGGAATGTGTCCACTCTTTCAGAACAGTTTCTGAAAAAGTGGGTGTGTTCTTTTGGCACCCCTGTATTCCTTATTTTATGAGGAATAAGGGATGTTCTGAAAGAGGAGGTTTTACTATATTTGGCCCTGTGTAGATGGACTAAATGTCGGAAAAACCTCTTTCAAAAAAACAAGTGGAAAGATATGCAAATTGCAAACCACAATTTGCATATCTTTTTCGGGGGGAGGAGGGGGAGCTAGGGAGAAAGGAACTGTAGACATAGCCTGGGATATGAATTTCAGAATGGCACCTTGGCTTTGATCTGGCTGCTTGTAGCCTTGTTCAAAAAAAACTTAGATCTATTTTTCCCTTAAATCCATTTTTTCTTTCATAACATCACTCTCTGCATGGGGAGAGGTGGATCTTCTAGAATGAAACAAACACAACCACACTGGCCTCTCTTTAATTCTGTCCTTTATATACAAAGAATTACTTATTCTTCTCCCTGAAATGCAAAAGGTCACATAATGCACTAGTGCCTCCATGTGTCCCTGACATTAAGGCAAGTGCCTTTGTGAATTACAAAGGCAACACTCTCTCAGATCCTACTAACTGTTCAAATGCTTCCCAGCTTCATCCCTTCAATCACAGTCACTGATCTGTGGTGTCTCTGGCCTGCTTAAATCAGATCTTCTTTTATCCATCCCAAAACTGCTGGCACTGCGGGAAGTCTGGACTAATTGTTCAAATTTTAGAAAGGTTGGTCTTGTAGGTCAACTGACTGTCTTCAGATTTCCATCAGACCTCTAGCAGCCAAAATGGAGAGCATTAATTATACCAACTGTTCTGCCTGCTTCTGTATTGATATCTACTGTACAACAAATGAACCACCCACCATCTTTCATGGAAAATTAGGGTTGGAAGAGACCTCAGAAAGTCATCTAGTCTAAGCAAAACCAACCCCAACTAAATCATCCCAGGCAGGACTTTGTCAAGCCTGGCCTTAAAAACCTTTAAGGATGGGGATTCCACCATCTCCATGGGCAACCCATTCTAGTGCTTCACCACCCTCCTAATTATAGTTTTTCCTAATATCCAAGCTAGACTCCCCCATTGAAACTGGAGACCATTCCTCCTTGTTCTGTTGTCTGCCACCACTGAGAACAGCATGGCTCTGTCCTCTGGAGCTCCCCTTCAGGTAGCAAATTCCCCCTCACTCTTCTCTTCTGTAGACTAACTAAACTGTTCCCTTAGCCTCTCCTCATAAGTCATGTGTCCCAGCCCACTAATAATTTTTGTTGCCTTCCACTAGATTCCACATTCTTTCTGTAGTCGGGGGAAGGGTGGGGCAGAACTGGATGCAATATTCCAGACGTGGCCTAACCTGTAGGGGCAACACTGGTGAAGATGACAGGCAGGCCAAGCACTCCAGCGACAATTTAAAGTGCCTGGGGCTTTGGGATCCCCAGGCCGTTTAGAATCACCGGGCTCTGGAACTTTTGCCCCTGTCGGTGGGCCTGGGTGGCACATGGGGGGCACAAGGGATCATGTGCCCCCCAAACAATGTAGATGGGAGGGGCTAGCAAGTTGCTGGCGGGGTGGACTCGCAGTGGGGGAGCTGGTGCCCACAGGAGTGGTCTGGCTCCTGCATACTCACAGGCAGCGGTGAAAGGAAGCGAAGTGAGGCAGCCTCCACTGCTTTGCTTTTCAGATGCGACGCAATGTGGGAGGGACTAGGACTGCCCCTCACTCCCTGGTAGGAAGCAGAGTGACATGGCCAAAGGGGCAAAGCAAGCTGGGACCATCGTGTTCTGCTTCCCCTACTGCTGCCAGTGAGCATGCAGGGGGAGCAGACTGCTATTGGTGGCACTGGTCCCCTTGGCCCTGCTATACCCCCAGGCTGCCTCAGTTGGGGGAAGAGGGATGGAGGGGCCAGAACAAGGGCAGGGAGAGGTGGGACCTGAGGTGGAGGGGGTTGTCCTGTCCCTTCCCTGGACTAGTGGGTAGGGGTGGTCATGTGACTGGTAGCCCGCTGGGTTACTCCTGACCAGTCACCTCTGCTCACCAGTGCCAAACAGAGGGGAATAATCATTTCCCTTGAACTGTGGGCAACGCTTTTAGTAGTGTAGCCCAATATGCCGTAGCTTTCTTGGCAATGAGGACACATTGTTCACTCATATACAGCTTCTCGTCTGCTGTAATTCTCTGGCCTTTTTCTGCCCTTGTCCTTGTTGAACCTCATCAGATTTCTTTTGGCCCAATCTTCCAATCCCATCCAAAATTGCCATCCAGTTAAAACACATTAGCAGGACCATGAGTCTGATCCAATCTAGTCATTCCTTGTGCCTATAGACATAAGCAGTAGACATAATCACTTTCTGCATGGACGTGCAACTGGTGCAGACTCGAATTCACAAAACGTGATACAGCCTTTTTCAAAGGCCTCCCTGTCTTTGGCAATAGCGTTCACTTTTCCCTTGTTTTCTCCTTGCAACCAAGTCTCCTCCAAAGATGAGGTGATCATTCCCTTGATGTGCCCTGTCCAGGAACAATGGTGAAGTCCTCACAGACCTCCTACAAACCTCAGAAGATGGATGGGAAGGGATGTCCCAGGTCAGAGCATCTAGGAAATCCCAATCACTTTACTGAATGACGTGCCTCTGAGCTGATTGGCTTTAGGCTCAAAATTGCCATGATGCCCCAAACTGGTGGGCATCGGGGGAGATCCCATTTCTAAATCTTGGCTCTGCTGGCTTGGATGGAAGAAGCATCCGCTCTCCTTTCTGTGAGTTCTCAAGATATTGGCCACTAGAAATCAATCATCAGCCATGGGGAGTTAAGAGGAGATGCCACTATATCATTGGAAGGTTTCCTCTAATGTACCTGGTGCTGGCCGCTCTCAGAGTCAGGACACTGAACTAGATGCTTTATGTGTAGAGGAGAGAGCTGCAGCTCCTGCCCATAGGAGCCTTGCAATTCAATGGGTGCGAGGCACTTGGTGACATTCATAATGCTTGGACTTCTTGCACAAACCTTTCTAGCTTTTGGTATAGGAGCACATGAGGAGGTCTCATTCATTC